CCTATGGTTTGCGTTTTATTAGATAAGTATACTGTAAATGAAGTGTTGGGTTGTGTGCTTTTTGAACACGTTGGAGATTCTGTGTTCTGTGTGTGGAGATTGGACAAACAATGAAACAAGGACATAACATTTGTTATATCTCTGATATGACTTTGTTTTAAATTGGAATGTAATATTTTTTCTCCAAAGCAGCTATGCATTTTTGTGTAAAATTCTTATTAGAAACTGTTTAGTTCTTTGTCACGTAAAGGTTTACGGTAAGCTCACTGTCAAGAGACTGGGACCCCAACAATCAGCAGACTTTTCTCGTTCTGTTTTGGATGGGGAAATAAAATAAACCCGAATGGTTCAAGTGCAATATTAAGGATGCACGGTTCAACCAAATTGTCATTTGCAAATTTGTAATTTACTTCACAGAAATATCCAAGGGTCCAATTCGTGCGGCTTGTATAAAGAGGCAGAAGTGAGTCAGTTTTCCTGCTTGTAAAAGTGCGGTATTGTTTCGAACACGTTTTCAAAATTGCTGAATCTATTTAGCCTATATTTCCCCTTTGTCGTTTTATGCGTGTTTGGCTGGCCTTACTTTTAGTCTTGACTCTTAACGCATCCTTTATAATTTGAGCGACCTCATAATATTTATTTAGTCACGGCAGGCCCCATCCTCATCCTGATAGGCCCTCCTTGTGTGAGTTTATCGAGTTGACACGCTCACATGTAAGGCTACATATTATGCCGACCACACACATGTTAAGCGTGCGACAGCACACGCTAGTGCACACCATTCTGAACCAAACTGGAGTAAAAAGCAAAAACATGCTACAATAAAAAACACACTACAATGATAATGAATAAAGCAATATCTATACCTCATTGATCGCTTACCAGACCAATAATGGCTGAGATCTATTAATCCTCATATTATTATATCCATAAAACGAACATTACACACTATCTCCAACAAGCACAAAATGTATCTGTCCATACGTATTGTTTTATATTCTAAAAAGAAACTCAAAAGCAACCTAGTCTTGGTAAGAGT